CTTAAATCAATTTCGAAGTGTGGAATCAAGATTTTACTCTCCTCATCGTACGATATGTGAATGACATTTTTTCATTGGATTCGGCAGCCATTTTACTTACTGCAATCATCAAGACAGTGTCAAGCGGAATTCCTATTAGAAATAGAGTAATTCAGCCAATCAGAGTACCAAGATGGATGTAAACATCAAAATGGCGGACGAACCGAGTTTGCCGAGAAATACTTTTTCTACGATTTTCTGACCAATTTTTGACCCAAAAAAATCCATGAATGTATATTTTGCTTCTTAATAATGAGTAGAAACCAATTTTGGAATAATTTTCCAGTATATATCATTTCAGGATGTGTTTTGACTGTACAAAACCTCACATAACATTCATCATACATCGATAATTCGGTGTAGTCACACACTAGTAAATGCTTTTTCTCTCTAAAACGTTTTGTTAACCATTAGTTAAGCAAACACGAACTTGATACCTCATTAGATAGCAAAGTAGACATAGATCAAGTTTCACATTTTGGCGCAAATTTCGAATAAAACGTAATCCAGCAACCGTGCGAGAGTCAGCTAGCTAAAACTATCCCGAACCGCGTTCATATAATGAGTACTTTTCTTAATCCTAAGACATATGGCTTTGCTAAAGCCGCTGCAATCCACACAGCAAAGCAGTCGAAGTTCTTAAAGAGGGAAACAAACGAAGGCAGTGCAAAATTTGGCGCGCGAATTCACCAAGAGCACTACAAGTTATTCCAAGCTGGGCAAGCTTGGAGAAAATTCCTAGCCACCTTAATAAAGAACAAAAGTCTCTATTTGCAAATTTAATGGAACTGACACTGGGGGGCAAAGAAATCAAACGAGCAGCTGACAACAGAGCAGCAATTGTCATTTTTGCACAGCAACTCAGGGGACATATTTCTCAAGAGCTACAACTTCTTTTGGACACCCTGGTTGAAATGCAAGCTACAAAAATGATGAACATCGCTCACCACGCTTAGTTCTACGCTACCACAACTGCAGTTTTCTTCATTTCCTTATGTGYGACACTGTGTTTGGTTCTACGCCTACTGCTCTTACATTCAGAAAATTCTATGGGAAGTACCTTCATAATCTTGTTTCTCATGCACCAATTCAACTTCGACTTATCTCTGGAGCTTCTTGCAATGCTGAAAATGAAGAAAGGATGTTCAGTACCATGAAAGGTATCACTCTGTCAACATTAA